CCCTTTGTGTTCGTCATTATGGTTAATTACTGGAAGATGGCAGTTGTGGCCAAAAGGAAGGAAGTCTGAGTTTCTTGAAGGCAAGGATTTATCTGTTGGAATCCTAGTAAAGGAAGTGCTTGATGATGGAAGGGAATCCAACATTCAACGTACTGCCACTGAAATTAAGAATGGGAGCTTGAATGAACCTCCCAGGCATTCAGCTAAAATTATTCCTAGGAACCGTACAGAAATGTCACTTTCTCAATACTGTATTCTTAAAGCCTCTCCTCTACTCTGACCCCACAGCTACCAGCTCAGGAAGCAACTGTCCCACCTTCTGCATGTGAAGCATCTTGGAGCTGGAGATGTGGACAGATGGAATCGAGAATGCATGGCACTGCTTCTTCAGGTTTGGAAGGGAAAACTGGAGCTAAAACATCCAAAGAACAGTGCAGTAAACAGAGCCCCCAAGAGTCCATCCAAAGGCTTCTCAGGCATCAAATCCACCAGGCACTCCGTCCTCAAGCAAATCTATGGTAACTGTCCTTCTGAGCACTTCATAGTCAAGCACCCACAGAGAGCTACATTAGAATCTGAAATAAAAATTACCTTGGACAAATCTCCATTTAAATAAACATGTTCTTTCTCTGCTTCCAAGCACAAGGGAATTCTCAGCACATTTAGGATCTCCCTTCCAGCAGTTATGGGTCAGAATCTGGCATGTCAGCCCAGAGTTTTCCAGCCAAGATTCTCCTCTGGGTTCCATGAAGCCTCATGCTTTAACCTCACCAACCTGTGCTTGGTTCTCCCCCCTTAAATGACCCATTTTGAAGACTCTAGACTTATACTCTGTTGTACCTCAATTTGATCTTTCCTATGCTAAGGATAGTAAAGGGCTGCCCATCTATGGGAATGCCCAGACCCAAGCACCACAGTAAATACATATTCAGCAGATAAATTATTGTAAATGCAAACATTTTCAGCTCTGGAAAGAGCCCGTGTAAATAAACTAAGCAGAGAACATGCCCAGTTAACTCCTCAACAGAAACAAAGTTGGGTCATGGCACTTTGAGAAAGATTTCTGGCAGTCCACGCAACAAAGTCTTAGGACTGCCACAGGCCCACGTGGTATGTCCACATCATACCTGGTTTATTTTGGCAACACTTGAAGCTCACGCTTTTACTTCAGTAAGGAATCCAGAACTTGTTTAGGCCACAGCTGTTACTAGTCAAAGACAGATGATCACTGTTGGTTGATTTCAGGTTGTTCTCAAGAAGGGAAAATACATCATCCCACAAGATCTTCAAAAGCCCCCTCTGTGCTGCGTCTCAATTCAGGTAAGGAAGCAATTGCGCTGGCAAAGCAGATAGGAGAGAACGCAGGGAAGCATTTTCCATTTTTGTTTAATTCCAAAGACAAAAGACATTAGAAAAGAGACAGCCAGAGTTTTCCAATTGTCATTTGATTTCAAGTATGCATGTGGTTTTCATGGGATTGTTCCAGCGGTTAACATTCATCTCTGAGGCAAATTAGTTTCTCAAACCAAAGCTATTATATTATTGTTAACATTGCAAAATCTCCAGTTGAAACAATGAATGGTAGCTGTCATTGATCACTTTCACTTATTTATTTATATATACAGAGAAAAAATACTAGCATTCTTCAAAGGAATACTTAGGGAATTCTTGTTTCATGCCAGTCACATTAAGATCCTCCATCTCTATTCCAAAGATGGAAGAGCACCATAAACAGGATGTTGATAGTATGTCCAGCTCAGGCAACTGTGCACACTTTCACTCATAGAGAAGTTCAGGGAACTTTCTTTTCAGCTGCAAGACAAGAGTGTTTTACTTAGGGCCCCTCATTCACGTGAGCATTAAATGTGGGTGATAAGTTCAGTGCTGTCAGCAGCTAATGCCAGGTCCAGTGTTTCTCACAGGTGGCTATGGCAACACTCTCCCCACCACCCTCCCAGATCCACCCAGTCATCCTGCAGGGACAGAAGGCAGCTGGGAAGGTGAACAATGACTGTCAGCATGAACTTTAACATTCATTTAGTTTTTGATGGAGAAAAACCTGGAGGTGGGGACAGAGTAATTACTGCCAAATCTTTAGTAAGAGTTGGGCAACTCATGTAACACAGGCAAGTCTGATCAGGGAGCAGTGGGAGGGACAGTTAGAAACTTTCAAAGAAATCAAGGCCCAGAGTTCTATATAAAACAAACTTCTTGTTTTACTTGAATGAATTAAAAGTACAGTTTCAAACACAATGCTATCAGATATAACCAGCAGATCAGTTGCATTTAGATAGTTAAATATTTGTATAAATATTCAGGTCATTTTACCTTGTCTTGAGAAATATCTAGGACTACCCATAACTTGTAAAATGAAAGTACTGAGCAGCATAAAAGGACTTAGTTAAGGGACTTGGAGGGGACACAGTAAACAGACTCAAAGAAATACTTTATAGAAACTTCTTAGAATGTCATAGAGGGACCAGCAGGTGAAGGTGCTGGACACTCTCAGGTGGCTGACCATGGTTCAGGTCCTGAACCTGGTGGCTTGCTTTCTCACTTTCTCTCTCTCTCTCTCTGCATGTGTCTCTCTGGTCAAATTAAAATAAATGAATAAAATTCAAAAAAAAAAAAAAAGAATATCACAGGGGGGCTGGCAGATGGCATGGTGGTTGAGGTGCTGGACTCCCACATGGCCAACCAGTTTGAATCCTGGAACTGGCAGCTTGCTTTCTCACTTTCCCTCTCCCACTCTGGTCAAATGAAAGTAACAACAAAAAAATAAAATAAATAATTCTTTATTAAAAAAAAAAAAGACATCATAGAAGCAGCATCTTTTTGTGACATACTTATTTGTATTTAAAATTGGACAAGGACAGAATAATCTTTTCCTACCCAAACTTAGGGTAACACAAGGTTTTGTTACATCCCACCCACATTGAGCATTAACCAGTTAATAAAGTTGGCCAGATAGAACTGCTAGCTATTTTTAGCTGTTCTGTTTTCTTTGGAAAATCTGTAAGTTAAGTAATTTTTTTTTTTTGAGGTTTTTGCTATAGGGCGCATGCACTCACCAGACAGACAGAGAGAGACAGAGAGACAGAAAGTGAGAAATCACCCCCCAGGTGGGATGGCCACACCGCAATCCCTTCTCCTCTGTTCTCCTCTTGGGATCTTGGGCATGCACGCACACGCGCCCGGCGTGAGTTTTAAGCCACCGGGTTTGGGATGTGAACCGCAGTCCACTACATGGGAGTCTAGCGACATAGCCATTACACTAACTGCTGGTCCCATTAATTTCAGTAATTTTTTTTTTTTGAGGGGGGAGAAGTTTTCGCTATAGGGCGCGTGTGCTCGCCAGACAGAAAGAGACAGAGAGACAGAAAGTGAGAAACCACCCCCCAGGGGGGATGGTCACGCCGCAATCCCTTCTCCTCCATTCTCCTCTCAGATCTTGGGCACACACACACACACGCCTGGCGTGAGTTTCAAGTCACCAGGTTTGGGACTCGAACAGCGGGCGACTACGTGGGAGACCAACGACATAGCCATTATGCTAACTGCTGGTTCCCAAGTTCAGTAATTTTTAAAAAGATTTATTTCAATTTGTTATTATTTTTAATTTGACCAGAGACAGAGAGAAAGAGAGAAAGGGGAAAATGAAAAAGCAAGAGAGAGGGACCAGCAGTTAGCATAATGGCTATGTCGCTGGACTCCGATGTAGCCGACCACGGTCTGAGTCCTAGACTGGGTGGCTTAAACTCACGCCAGGCGCATGCGTGTGCATGCTCAAGATCCAGAGAAGAGAATGAAGAAGGGATTATGGCATGGCCATCCCCCCTGGAGGGGTGATTTCTCGCTTTCTGTCACTGTCTTTCTGGCGAGCACACGTGCCCTATGGCGAAAACTTCTCCAATCAATCAATCAATCAATCAATCAATCAATAGCGAGAGAGAGAAAAAAAGGGGAAAGGGAGAAAGCAGGCTGCAGTCTAGGGGCTTCAGCTACCCCCACAGGGCTGGTGATTTCTCACCGTTTCACTGTTTCTGTCTCTCTGGCAAGCGCACACACCCTACAGCAAAAATCTCTCTTAAAAAAAAAAAATGCTGCACTCCCACATGTCCAACTGTGGTTCAGTTCAAGTCCCAGACCTGGCAGCTTGCTTTCTCTCTCTCTGGTAAAATTGAAGAATAATTATAAGTAAAATTAAAATTAAGTGAATAATTATTTTTTTAAAAAGAAATAACAATTATAGGGACTAGCAGATAGTGTAATAGTTACATTGCTGGACTCCCATGTAGTCAACTGAGATTCGAGTCTCAGATCTGGTGGCTTGAAACTCAGGCCAGGAGCATGTGCATGTATGCTGAGCAAGATCCTGAGAGGAGAATGAAGGGATTGCAGCATGGCCAAACTCTCTGGGGGATGATTTCTTGCTCTCTCTCCAGTGAGTGTACATGATCTATAGCAAAAATCTCTATCTAAATAACATTTATAGTGGCTGGCAGGTCCAGCTAAAGGAGCAGGACTCCCACATGGCTGACAACAGTTCAAGTCCCAGACCTGGCAGCCTGCTTTCTCCCTTTCCCTTTCTCTCTCTGGTCAAATTAAAAAATAACAACACAAAAGGGACCAGCAGGTGGCGTGGTGGTTAAGGCACTGAACACTCCCATGTGGCCAACCATGGTTCGAGTCCCAGACCTGGTGGCTGGCTTTCTCACTTTCCCCTCACCTCTCTGTGTCTCTTGCTCTGGTCAAATTAACAAAGTAAAATAAAGTAAATGAATGAATAAATAAAGTTAAATAAATCTTTAAAAAATAATAAAATAAAATTAAAAATTCTTTAGAACAATTGCTCACCTTTCATGTTTGTGTATACGTTCCATAGAAAGTTCAGAGCATAGTATGGCTTCAACAAAATCTCTCAACTATTTGGGGCCTCGATATCCTCATCTGACAAAACGTATCACTATTTTCTGACAATGGCGCTCTATAAATTATTTCAGGGTAATAAAAGTGCCTGAAAACTCCATTTTAAAGTTAAGTTAGACATACCTATGAATTTATTATCCTTCAGGATCGAAATAGTGTTCAAACAAATCTAATTTCTGTAATGGACTACTACAAAGTATATGGCACAAGGAGAATTGAAAGATGTATATATTTAAGTATTATGTGAAAAACATACAGAAAGATACCATGATGTATTCTAGGCAGTCTGGAGACCAAGGTTCCAATTCCAGCTCCTCGAGTACCTACTATTTCCCAATCAAGTTTCTCCCTTGAAGAGATGTCCCATAGCTTTGTGGTGGAAAATGCAAAGCTAGTATCCTGCCTCTACAGTAAACTGGCTTGTCGGGTTATTTAGCCATAAGGACAGCCTAAACCTAACTCCTTTTTCCTCACCATCAATGAACTCTTCCCTTCAGCATTAAAACAATCTGAATCTCTCTCTGATTATTTGTTAACAGTGAGCAACTTGCAGTGTATACAGCTCCTTGAGAACAGTGGAAGATCAAAGAACTTCTCTTATAACCTACAATCAGCTACTCAATCAAAGAACAAAACCAAACTTCGACTGCCTGTGGAAGACAACAGTGTTCAGAAGAGCTGGAATAGCTAGTGCCAAGGTCTAATTCTCTTGCTGATCTAATTCTCTTTACATCTTGCAAACACTTTAAAGTCTATGCCTGAACCATATTAGCCTGAAAATGTGGTAACAACTGAAAGAAAATGTCAGCATGTTTTCTTTCTGCTCTTACACTGCAGTTTTGTAAATCATCCTAGCTTGCACTGGAAAGTCCGGGGTGGCTATCTGCATTCACCTGTCTGGATGTGAGAATTACTAATTAACAGTAAACTCTATAAGTAAAACAAAGACCACCACACAGTAGGAGCGGCTGGGTTGGGAATTCTGCCAGCCAGCTGGTACGGGCCTGGTTTCTTGGCTCAAGGGATGAACCTAAATGAGAACGGGAGCTTGTCCATCAGCAGTCCCCTTCAATCTCACTACTTTCCTAGATTCTAATGCAAGACACTTCATCAGACACACATCCTGTTATTCCAATGTTATCGATTTTGAATTTTAGATCAGAATTATGACCCATTCTGCACTTAGAAGTTGTCCATAAGCCCACATGTAACATCTGTTGATTCCTTATTTTTTACAATTCCTTTATTAGACTCTGAAGTCCACAGGTTGCGCTCACAGCTGAATACCCAACGGCACTGTCAAAGTACCGAGGAATCATCAGGTAGGCTGTACAGAGCAGACTGCTCGTGCAGCAGTGCGCCGACTCGGGCCACAGCAGTCCAGTTACATGCTCTGGCTAATCTGAAGAGGTGAACAGTTTTCTCAAAATGCCATTTCTACAGGCAGAGAAAACTGCTATTACGTAGTGGGGAAAATCATGATGTGTTTTTCCACAAAAAAGCATCATGACTTTCCTGTGACCCAATACTTCCATTCTGGCTCACTATGAACACCTGGTTTAAATAAAATTTAGTGATTATGGGTCCTTTCCCATTTTTAAGAGTAAGACTGCTGTGGGAAAGCGGACAGAAGCACAAACTGTGACATATTAGGCTCACAGATACTTTTAGAGTTGCTTCCACTTCCTTAAGAACAATCCCATAGCTGTACTAACAGTAAGAGGAAGTGATAAAGTGTCTATTTAATTTAATTACCTTGATTTTTAGTTTACTAATTATATTCATTATTTTTATAATTATGGGAACACACAGGATAAGGGTTACTTAAATGGAGCCACAAGAATTCAGCTAATTCCTTGGTAAATAATACAGTACCATATATCGTGTTGTACTTGGTAAATATTTAGCGCAAGTGTGAAACACTACCTGTTACCATGTTCATGTGCTAATCCAGGAAGCCAGCTTGCCCATTAGTAGGAACTCCTGAGCATCATACTTTACTTCAGTAAAAAGGAAGGTTCGTGAACAATATCTTTAAAAGTTCAGCTTTAATGACAAACATCTATTACATCAGTCTCTCTTCAAAATAAGATAGACATGAATAAACCACTTTAAACAGAAGATACCACGGTGCCTCTTCAATACACTGTACTCAATGTGCTGGGTCCCTGGGGGTGCCCAGTGATATACACGTTGAAGCAGTAATGTAAGTCTGTGAGCCACTGTTCCTGAATACCTCCGCTCTTCAATGTCTGCAGAGAAAACAAGAGTAATTTGAGAATTGTACCAAAAATCAGTAGACTGACCCAGTATTCTTCACACCCAATCATGACTTCTCAGAGCCATGACAACAGTATCCCTCCCCATCTACAAGAAGACTTGGGAAAAGGGAAGTACCATCAGTGGGGCACAACCACAGGCAGTGAGATTTCCTGGTTCTACCCTCACGTACTTCTGGTTTCTTGCTGAGTCTGTTTCCTTGTGCACATGATAGGGACTAATGAAATATAACCATTAACCATTCCTATGCCCCCGTCTTGATCCCTTCCTCCTGACATTCTAGTGTCTCATTATCTCTGCACTAACACCAACCAAGAATAATTCTATGGAGCTGCCTGACAATGCCTGTCAATTTCTTCTTTACTGAGGAGAGCTGATTATTCAGCCTGGAATAACCGAAATTCCTGACTTTCCTTCCCTTTTAGCATTTCTGAATTATGCCACAGCTACTCTCATTACTTCTGCAAAGTCTCCTGAGAAAATGCAGAATGAGCATCATTGTTATGTGCACGTAAAACTTCTACTAATCCAAAGTATTACTACACACCTCAATGAATAAAGTCCAATCAAACAGCTATATAAAACACTTTTCTTTGGGAGAGATTTTTGCTATAGGGCCCATTCATTCGCCAGAGATACACAGAGACAGAAAGTGAGAAATCACCCACTCAGGGGGATAGGCATGCCGTAATCCCTTTTCCTCCATTCTTCTCTTGGGATTTTGGGTCCACATGATGCACTTTGCCAACTTCACTCAATTTAAGTATTTTAAAGCTTTTCTTACTGATTCTAGAATTAGAGACATCCCTCTGATTAAGTTGCATTCAGATGCTGAACAGCAGGGGAAGCCCTGGGAAATCACCATCCAGGGCTTAACTCCAGAAGTTAATACATAGCAAACTGCTTTTCCCAAAGCACACCTCACATGAATCCTTCCCTGTACTAACAGTACAAAGCTCTCGGTACCACATTTCCTACCGTGATATTCTTGATGATCTGCTGCACCAAGATCGCATTGGTCAGCATATGAGTCCTGAGGGGCGCATGCTGAAGCAGCAGGCGAAGCAACTGGCCCACAACAGGCAGCTCCTCAGGCCCCACTCTGTTCACCCGCAGACTCTGCAGCATCAGTCTGAGGACTCGAGGGAGGAGAGCCAGGATGGAGACACAGGCCCCCCACAGCTTGTCCCTACAGTAATGGAGATAGGAATGAGTTAGTGAGCCAGTACCCAAAAGAAAAGTATCCTTTCCATATTTCCCCCAAACTGAAATGTCCTTTTAAGAAATGGTGATTTGGGGGCCACCAGATGACATGGTGGTTAAGTTGCTGGAACCCATTCTGCAGTTTGAGTCCCAGACCTGGCAGCTTAAGAAAAAACACTGGGTAGTATGTGTATGCATGCCCAAAATCCCAAGAGGAGAATGGAGAAAGGATTGTGGCATGGCCATCCCCTCTTGGGTGGTGGTGTCTCACACTCCTTCACCTCTATCTCTCTTCAACAAGTGCATATATCCTACAGCAAATTTATTTAATTTTGGGGGGAAAAAAAACAAAACCACAAGCTGTAACTATTATAAATAACCGGGTTTTATCAGAATTGAATAGGCAAACCCAAAAAATTCTTTTTCCATATTTTATGAATTCCAGGAACCCTAGCAAACAGTATGTTCCCATGTTTATTTAACGAGACATTCTTGAAGCCTTAGTGATCCATAGGTGACACAGAACAGCCAGAAAACAGAATGATCTACATATGTATAACTTCTTACTATCAATGGACATTATTTATTTATTTCACAACACCAAAGGCATCAGAAGATCAGGAACATCCTACTGGTGTAACTCTAAGCCTCTTCTGAGTCTCGGAGCAGGACAGATTTGCAGGGAGAAAAATATGCTCACCAAGAGCCAAAATGGCTTCCAGAAAGTAGCCCATAAAGGATTGTCACTGCACCACTATGTCATGGAAGGCCAGAGACAGTAAATATAAATTTTAATAAACACCATTCTCTTGGTATCATGTCCCTACAAAGCAGGGGCAAAAATGTTCTTGATAGACATAATTGAAATTAGAGCTGGACTTAACACATTTTAACAGATTGTTAAATGGAACAATACCCATTTAGAGGGACAGTTCACTGACTGACTGACTCTAGCCTTAATCTGTTGCAGTTTCTGAATCAGGAGTGCATAACCCTCCCAATATGTTAAATCTTTCTAAGAGAACCTGACTACTGCCAGGTCCAGAAGGAACAGTCTAATCCCCCGGCTCCACATATACGTTAAAAAGAAAAAAACAAATCCATTCTACAGGCACTTTTTTCAGCCTGTTGACTGATGCAGAGCTGGACTGCGATTAGCCATATGCAAGGAGAAAAGAAACAGCCAAATTATGGACATTAAGAAGGAAAAAAAAGTGATGGAGAAAAATAAAACAATAGAGAAAGCCAATTTAATTCCTGGTATATTTCTAATTCTTAGCCCTTAGGATTTACAAGTTATTTATTAATAACAGTAAGTTCATTTTCTATTCTGTTTTTATATTCTTTTGTAAATTTGACTGAACTTCAATTAATAAAAGACTTAAAAGAAAATACATAGCCATGGTGAAAAGTATCTAGGAGCTAGAAACTATGACCAAATTCATATAAAGATACTCAGCATGGGTCAGAACTTGACTTAGTATTTTATACTGGAATTTTCAACTGTCAACAATGATGGAAACCAAGGCTTCAGGCCCCAGGTACAGGAGGAAAGGATTGCTGCATTGAGCAAGGAAGCAGGGAAAATGCAAATATGAAACTATCTCACAGGGAGGTCTCAGCAAGCCTTCAAAGAACTCCCACAAAAGATGCACTTACAAAAAGCTATTTAACCCAAAACATATGAGTTTGTTCAACCCCACAAGAGATGAATCCCAGAGCCTCCCAAAATCCCTAAAGTAACAGAATTCACATATCAAGAAAAAAAAAAAAGAACTAAATGAACAAATTGATGGGGCCTTTGAAGTGACACCAACAAATTAAGAACAAGCAAAAAATTGCCAAATGAAAATCCAAAACAGAGAGCCAGCTGATAGCATAGAGGTTAAGGCCACTTGATCCCACCTGGCAGTTCAAGTCTCATATCCAGAAGCCTGAAAAACAAGTGGGCACGTGCACCTGCATGCCCAAAATCCCAAGAGGAAAATAGAGAAGGGACTGCTGTGTGACTATCCCCCTAGGGAGTTTTCTCACTCTGCCTTTCTCTCTCTCTCTGTCCCCATTGAGCACACATGCCCTAAGGAGGAGGGGGGAGAATCCAAACTAGAAACAAACCCAAAAGAAAACAAAGAATCAACAGAATGGCTGGCACATGGCGTGGTGGTTAGGGGCACTGGATTCCCATGTGGCCGACAGCGGTTTGAGTCCCAGACCTGGCGGCTTGCTTTCTCCCTTTTGCTTTTTCTCCCTCTCTGGTCAAATTTATTTAAAATAAGTAACAAATTAAATAAATAATTCTTTAAAAAAAAAAAAGAATCAATAGAAGAGTTAAATCATTGGCAAGCAGTAAGCTGTTAAGAGAAAAAGAGGGCAGGATCAGAAGTTCTCTATGTTTAAAAGCTTTCAGAACAGAATAACAATGAACTTTCCAAATCTGAAGAAAAGATATTGAGCTTTCAGATCTAAGGAACACATTAAATCTTAAAAAAAAAAATTTATTTCAACTTTATTCATGTATTTATTTATTTTAATTTGACGGGGGGGCGGGGGAGTGAGGAAGAGTGAGTGAGTGAGAAAGAGAAAGTGAGGAAGCAAGCTGCCAGGCCCGGGACTTGAACCATCATTGGCCATGTGGGAGTCCAGCGCCCTTAACCACCACACCACCTGCTGACCCCAGGAACACATTAAATTTTAACCAGGATAGGGACCAGCAGATGGCGTAGTGGCTACATCACTGGACTCCCATGTAGTCGACTACAGTTTAAGTCCCAGACCTTGTGGCTTAAACTCACAGAGGGGTGCGTGTGCGTGTGTGCTCAAGATCCCAAGAGGTGAAGGGATTGTGGCATGGCCATCCCCCCCCCAGGGGGTGATTTCTCGCTTTCTGTCTGTCTGTCTTTCTGGCAAGTGCACAAGCCCTATAGCAAAAACATCTCCCAAAAAACCCCCCCACACACACAAAATACCACAAAAAAACACAAAAAAATACAACTTAACCAAGATAAATAACAAACTTATACTAGGACACATCCCAATATGCAACATACCAAGATAAAGACAGACAGTTAAAATATAGATTACTGCTTACAAACCAAGTGGGCTCAGACTAACATTTCATCCCTAACAAGTCAAATACATACACAACAGAACACTAACTTCAAGGTATACTGAACAATTTAAATTGTTCAAGCCTGACTTTTTGGCCAGCATTTGTGAAAGCATAGGCTCTCAAAAAATGAGCTGGCATTCTCATCATCTGTAACCTTACAAACACCGTCTTCATTCAGGGAGAAATAGTCAAAAAGGGAATTTTTTTTAAGAACAGTCCTTTTTAATAATTACTTATTTAATTTTATTTATTCACTCATTTATTTTTAATTTGAGCAGAGAGAGACACAGAGGAGGAAAGAGAGAGAGGGAAAGTGAGAAAGGAAGCCACCAGGTCCAGAACTCGAACCGTGGTCGGCCATGTGGGAGTGTCCAGCACCTTAACCACCACGCCACCTGCTGGTCCCCCAAAAAGGGAATTTTAAGCACTAAAACACTTCCTTGTGATTAAGTGTCACCCTGAGAAATGTACAGGGTACTGGTAATATCAACCTTTCCAATACTCAGTAGAAAACATCTCTAAAACTGTGCATTTTAAACACATAAATATTATTCTTACTGAATTTTATTCAATCAAAGCAAAATGTTCCCCTTATAAGAAACTACAAAAATAAGAAACTACAAAAAAAAAAAAGTCTTTGAAACTTGGGCATGATAATTATTTCATAAAGGGGCTAATGGGGGGCAGGTGGCACAGTGGTAATGCAACTGAACCCACATGGGAAAAGCCCTGGATTCACATCCTAGGTCCACTCTGAGGATGACGGCATGCATGTGTATGCACGTGACTTGAGCCAGTTAGGACGGAGGGTGGATCATGGCATGAGGACCCTGTTGGGGATGCCTGTCTATTTCTCCCTCTCTCATGGAAGAAGGAAATAAACATTTTTAAAGTATTATTTTTAATTGGCTACCAGGTACCCATGCTTACTAAGGAAACCAAGAGAAAAAGGGAGAGTGAAAAAACAACCATGAGGTTCATAATTCAAACTGCCATTGGCCATGTGGGAATCCAGCACTTTAACCACCATGCCACCTGCTGGCCCCTGCAATTACTCTTCAAATTACATAAATGTCTTAAAATCAACATGTATGGTGTATTTTTATACATTTTAAAAGTTCAAAGACCAGAAAGACACACATCAAAACATTAACAGGTGACAGAAATTTCATTTTCTGACATTTGTTCCTGTTTATTTAAAATGTGCTACAAAATTAATCTTTAATAATCACACCTATAAGAATATAAATATAAAAACACTTTTTATAATTAAACATTACATCTTCCAAACTGTTCCAGAAGCTCTAACCTGAATATTATGTAGGTGAAAAAGTACTGACTAATTAAAATCACTAGTACTTAGGAAATTTTCCTTAGGGTCCAGCAGGTAGCATGGTGGTTAATAGCACAGGACTCCCACGTGGCTGACTGCAGTCTGAGTCCCAGATCTGGTGGCTTTCTCTCTTTCTCTCGCTCTTTGGTTAAATTAAAATAAATAAATACATAAAGTTAGATAAAATAATTCTTTTTAAAAAAAAATAAATAAAAGAGGGGATCAGCAAGCAGTTAGCGTAAAGGCTATATCACTGAACTCTCATGTAGTCAACCGTGGTTCATGTCCCAGACCCGGTGGCTTAAAACTCACGCCGGCGCGTGTGCATGCGTGCCCAAGATCCCGAGAGGAGAATGGAGGAGAAGGGATTGGGGCGTGGTCATCCCCCCTGGGAGGTGATTTCTCGCTTTCTGTCTCTCTCTGTCTGGCAAGCGCACGCGCCCTACAGCGAAAAAAGGAAAAATAATAATAATAATAAAAAAGAAAAAAAGGAAAAATTTCCTTACACCCAAGAATTTAAAATTCTACTCTGGATAGCTATAAAGTCCAAAACAAATAACAAAGCTTTGTATCTAATAGCCCATCCTCCTAAGGATGGAATATTTTTCCTCTTTCTAGACCTATAGCAATGTTAACAAGGGAAAGCTCTCAAGAAACTATGACATGTAACTTTTCAAATTTGTAGCTTAAAGGGGAAAAAAAAAAAAAGGAATTCTCCCTATAACACAAAAGGAATTCATGAAGAAACAAAAGAAAAAAATTAGCTAGGTTTACATAAATTCTCTAAAAGAGAAATTTAAGGTATTTCTAAAATGTAATTTTCTTCTACTCTCTTATATGGGGAGGGAAGAGGAGAGTATTAAAACAGTATAAAAAAATTTAAGGTTAAGAATAAAAAACTATTACCTCTTTCTTAGATGTTCTGCTTCCCCTTTCTCTAGAGTAAGCAGAAAATAAAGAAGACTGTAGCAACAAGAAGCCAGAAATGGCAGTAGATTCTCACTAACTACACACGTATGATCCAGGAGCTTACAGATAACACCAAAAACACAGCCAGCCGTGCTGTCAGGAATTACAGTCAACTCAACCTGAGCAAAGAAAAATGGGATTAATTACCTCTTTACAACGGCCCCCACTCCCAAATCAATCCAAAGCCCCCTTATATTGGAAAGTTAACTTTATATCACCTTCTACTTAAAGTTAATACATACATAACATATGCCACCTACCACACCATAAGATCCTGTTTTCCTCTAAAATTTTAATCCCAAAGTTCAATGACTGAACTCATGCAAATTCAAGAAATGCTATTAACCCAATCTACTGCCTCCCCTTCAAGACAAAATCTAAGATTTTCTAGATGTTGTAATTTCTACCTACTGGTCAAAAATAATATTTAAAAGAACTGTTTCATGCACTCCAAAATATCTTCACACTAACACACTTCAAGATCATCATGGTATGCTAGCTAATCCATCCAGACTGCACTGTCTGCACTGACATTCAGGTAGAATCTAACTTCTATACATATATACATGGTTCAACTCTCCTAGAAACATGCTGAGTAATCTGGGGGGGGGGGGCGGTTGGCATCTGCAGACTTTGAGTTCATAATCTTCTCTATCAGGTTGCCTCCAAATAGTGGCCAAGATTGACTGGCATGTTGGTCTTTTCTAAAATAATGAATGTAGTCAAAGGACAGCACAGATTTCTAGAGTGGAGGTAGAAATAAAAAGGGTAAGCACTGGAAGTTTAATAACAGGAAGGAGAGAGTACTTGTAATTAAAAGCAATAATCCTAGGGACAGCAGGTGGCATGGTAGTTAAGGTGCTGGAGTTCCACAAGGCTACCAAGGTCTGAGTCCTAGACCTGGCAAATGCCTTTCTCACTCTCCCTCTCTCTGTCTCTCTGGTAAAACTGAAGAATAAATAAAATTAAATATTTATTAGTAATAATAATTGTAAAAAGCAGTAATCTTGTCCAAGTCAAGGGAAATGACATCTTGTTTTATAAAGAATTATTTATTTGATTTTTTGTTATATTTTCTAATTTGACCAGAAAGAGAGAAAGGGAAAGCGAGAAAGCAAGCCACAAGGTCCAAGACTCAAACCACGGTCAGCCATGTGGGAGTTCAGTGCCCCAACCACCACGCCACTTGCCAGCATGGGCAATGACATCATAAAAGGGGAAAAGTAATGGAGCCAGCAGCTGGCATGGCATGGCGGTTAAGGTGCTAGATTCCCACATGGTCAACCACAGTTTGAGTCCTCAACCTGGAGTCTTAAAAATCATGCCAGGGTGTTTGTGCATGCATGCCCAAAGTCCTAGGCGAATGGAGAAGAGATTGTGGCATGGTCATCCCTACTTGGGGATAATTTCTCATTTTTCCTCTCTCTGTCTCTGTCTCTCTTCAGTGAACACATGTGCCCTTATGGCCAAAACCTAAAAGAAAAGGAGGAGAGGGGTACGCATGTGTCCATAAAATAATCAAATAAGTGAAGGCTCCTGGAAGATAAAATTTGAGAGTCCTCCCCTGTATCTCACACGTTATAATAAAAACAAGATCAAAGTGTCAACATTGGAAAAAATTAAAAAACACTGGAGGTATACCTAATCCACATGGAAGTTAATCCACATGGAAACAAGAGATACTCAATGGTAAGAAGACTATTCAGTCTCAGGATCGAGCTCTGCTTCCAGCGACCAAGCCATGTGCCTCCTCTTAGGTGATGTCCCTACTTTGGGCCCCAAACCTTACTGGGTGGTAGAACCTAAACTCCTAGATTCCCAATTCATGTGTGTATACCAGGCTCATGTGAATAATAAGAGCCTTACAAGTGAGAAAAGACCTGAGACATAATTTTTTTAATTCCTATTTTACAAATGTAGAAAACATGTTTCTAGAAAAAGAAGGGTCACAGAATTCATAGTAGCGGCCAGGAAAAAAACAACAACAAAAAAACAAGATTTCTCAGTTCTTACCATATCTGTCAAAGGCCATGGTATCATTAAGCTTAGTTCCAACCCTCTCTCTCCATGGACATGGTAAATTCAGTGTCAATCAATTAATCTCTTGTTTTAGTTTTGTTTTTAGGAGAAAAAAAAATTTTAAGGATATTTACCAAATGTTTATTGATGGCACTTTGTAGGATGTCAAAGCTCTGAGTTCGGGCAGGGACAACCAATAAACTGTGACAAACTGCCTGTCAAAAAAAGGAGAAAACCAGTAACCAAATCAGTACATTCAAAGTCAGAAACAAATGCAATAGACTTTTTGTAACCTACCTAAGTCTACGTATTAATACCAAATATGTAACAAAAAGGTACTTGGAAGATATAAAAATTCAAAGGAAAAAAAGCCAGACCTCATATATGGGTCAACTTTCCAATTAATTCACCTATTAAACATTTATCAAGTATTAAAATAGTACCTATTAGGTGATTAAATGCTACAAGAGAAACAACTCCATGCTATGAACAAAGTGCTGACAAACACCTTTTCATTTGGTAGAAAAATATTTATGACCCAGAAAAGACTAATACCCTGTCACATCTAATCATATCCCTGCTTCTTAGTCCTGAAAGGTAAAAGAAGAGAGCTACAGGAAAAAAAAAATAACTAAATAAAAGGAAATGGAAGTCAAACCAGTAGTTATTTTTAATTTTCTAAGTTCTCAAGAAACAGAGTCAAGAACTGTTCCAAGTTATTTACCGTCAACACAACCTGAGAGAAGTCAACACCAAAATAAAACACACTAAGGATGGGCCAACAGGTGGCGTGGAGGTTAAGGCCCTGGATCTCACATGGCCACAAGCGAGGTTCGAGTCATGGACCTGGTGGCTTGAAAATCGGAGTGCCTATGAATGTGTGTCCAAAATTCTAAGAAAAGACTGGAGGAGAGGGGATCTCAATATGGCCATCCCCTCTGGGCGTGATTTCTTACTTTTTTGGCAAGCACCATGTGTCCTATAGCAAAAACTTTAAAAAGAGGGGCTGGCAGGTTGGGGGGCAGTTAAGGGTGCTAGATTCCCACATGGCTTACCTTAGTTCATGGACCTGGCAGCTTGTTTTCTCACTTTCCCTTTCTCTCTCTCTCTGGTCAAATTTAAAAATAACAAGAGACTTCACCCTTCTGCTCCCCAGGATCTAGCCAGGAAAAGCCAATCACCAGCCATCTACATTGAGTTCTGAGTGGCCCATTTCAGGGACTAGGACAATTGAAGGTTTTCTGCCCAGACTTTACACTCCTGTTCCCCAGATCTATTCAGGGTCAGAGTAATTTTCCATTTCCATGGAATCTGCTGCACAGAGAGAGAAAAATCGTACTGTTCTGAGAGTGCAGATCACCTCCTGCATGCTTCTGAATGCTCAAATTCAACTCCAAAAACAAGGAAAAAAAACGTATAATCCATAAGATGATAGAAGCCATCGCAGAGGCACAAGAAATATGAGAAGCCAAAAAAGTATCTTTCCCCTAAGGGAAAAGAATAACTCCTCATATTCCAGACAGACAGTAGTACAAGGGAACCCATGAAAATGTCAGATAAAGAAATTAAAATACTCATGACAAAGCTAACAGAAATGCAAGAGAAGAGAGACAACAAACTCTAGAAGATGCAGGAGAAAAGAGACAATGAGTTCTAGGAGGTGAAAAAGTCTTGCATGATCTGAAAGAGGAAATATACATCATAAATATACAGTGTGATTAGTTTGAGTTCATTCTAGATAGCTAATGCTATCACTGAACTAAAAGCAATCCTACTCTATTAATTCACTTGTCCAAATGAAATGAGAATGTCAAAAATGATATAGTTTTAAATATTTTCACATGAAAAGAATGATGTAAATATAGCAAAGCTTATCCAAAATAAAACTGCAGTCTAAGCTTAAGAACCTCAAAAATAGGTCTGCCCCATGGCTAGTTGTTAAGGGAGCCAGATCCCACTCAGCTGACAGCAAGGTCTGAATCCCACACCCATGAAAAACATGCCTAGCACTTTTATATGCCCCAAATCCCAACAGCATAGAGACATGGAGAAGAGAATGCAGAATGACTATTCTTTCTTCCTCTCCCTATCTCTGGGGAGCACACACGCCTTCTATAAGAAGAAGAAAAAAAACTTTCAAAAACTGAAAATGAGACTTTCGGAGTTTCTCTAGTTTATGTCTCAACATTTAAAAGACAGCAAGAGTCAAAGCTTAGTATATGACCTTGCCAAGTATTCACCTCAGACATACAGTGTATCACATTTTCATGACAGCTAGACCCTGGCTTTACATAGATGATAAACTTATAAAACTAGAGAGCTGCAAGAATCTTACCATTCAAAGGTCTCATGAAAACAAAGCCTAATAGGGGACCAGCAGTTAGCGTAATGGCTATATCGCTGGACTCCCACGTAGTCGACCGCAGTTCGAGTCTGGGACCCAGTGGCTTAAACTCACGCCGGGTGTGTGTGCGTGAGTGCCCAAGATCCTGAGAGGAGAATGGAGGAGAAGAGACTGTGGCGTGGCCATCCCCCCTGGGGGGTAATTTCTCACTTTCTGCCTCTCTGTCTCTCTGTCTGGCGAGCACACGCGCCCTATAGCAAAAACCTCTCCAAAAAAAAAAAAAAAAAGCCTAATAAAGCTTCATAGAAGTTGTCTAATTCACCAAAATATCATAGGCTAGTCTATGCCTCTAAGCCATGCCCACTAATCCCCACACAATGCTTTCACCAATACATCATAAAATAGGAAATGTCATGACTCATTTTTTGCATAGAAAAAAAATGTTACTTTTCCAATGACCCAATATATTACAATCACCCTGTTTTGTTGTTGTTGGGGTTTTTGCTATAGGACGCATGAGCTCGCCAGACAGACAGAAAGTGAGAAGCCCCCAGGGAGGATGGACACACCGGAATGCCTTCTCCTCCATTCTCCTCTCGGGATCTTGGGTACACATGCTCACGCGCCCGACGTGAGTTTTAAGCCTCCGGGTCTGGGACGTGAACCGCAGTCGACTACATGGGAGTCCAGCGACATAGTCATTACGCTAACTGCTGGTCCCAATCATCCTGTTTTTTAAAACTACTATTATACTTAACACCTTTGGTAAACCCAAATCCTTGGTACTAGTATTCAAGGTCTTAACCTCAATCTACCTTTTTTCAGCTCTCTTCATTTATTACGGAGTAAGATAAAATTTCAGATTTTAGGAACCAGCAGGTGGCGTGGTGGTTAAGGTGCTAGACACTCCCACATGGCTGACCTCGGTTCAAGTCCCAGAAGTGGCAGCTTGCTTTCTCACTCTTTCTCTCTCTCTGGTCAAATTAAAATAAATGAATGAATAAATAAAATAAATAAATATATTTTTAAAATTCAGATTTTAAGTAATTATGTTGGGTACCTAATTTATAATTTTTTTCTTGCTTTTAATTGTTAAAGACCATGGTTTTTCACCAGAGAAACTAAAAGTACCCCTCAAGATGGCATGGTCACACCACATTCTCTTCTCCATTTCTCCACCCTGCCATGATGTGGGGAATGCACACACATGGACACACTGCATGTTCTTCAAGCCAAAGATTCAAACTGCACCAGCCTTTGGAATCCAGTTTCCTTAACTTTTTTTTGAGAGGTTTTTTCACTATAGGGCACATGCGCTCGCCAGACAGACAGAGACATAGAGACAGAAAGCGAGAAATCACCCCCCAGAGGGGATGGTCACGCCGCAATCCCTTCTCCTCCATTCTCCTCTCGGGATCTTGGGCGCGCACGCACATGAGCCCGGCGTGAGTTTTAAGCCACCAGGTCCGGGACATGAACCGCAGTCGACTATGTGGGAGTCCAGCGACATAGCCATTACGCTAACTGCTGGTTCCCAAAACAAGCCACCAGGTCCGAGACTTGAACCATGGTCAGCTATGTGAAAGTCCAATGCCTTTAACCACCATGTCACTTGCCGGCCCCAGTTTCCTTAACTGTTAGGCTACAGGGCCAATCCCCTAATTCATGTCTTTCTACTTTTTTTTTTTAAGGAAGACTTTTTAAAAAATAATTGTTTTATTAAACTTACTTTACTTACTTACTTACTTACTTATTTAAATTTACCAGAGAGAAAGCAAGCCACCAGGTACGGGACTTGAACCACAGTCAGCCATGTGGGAGTCCAGCACCCTTAACCATCACGCACCTGCTGGCCCCTCTTTCCACGTTTTAAAAACTAGTATGTATGAGAGCCAGCAGGTGGTGTGGTGGTCAGAGGCGCTGGACTACCACATGAACAGCAGTGGTTTGATTCCCAGACCTGGTAGCTTGCTTTCTCATTTTCTCTGTCTCTCTCTGGTCAAATTCAAAAATAATAATAAAGTTAAATAAAATAATTCTTTAAAGAAAAAACAGTATTTATGAAGAATCTACAGGTAAACACATTACCAGGTGCTATTGGTAATAAAGGATAAATAAATGTTATTGAAATAAAGCATAGGAAGTAAAATTAAACAAAGCCGTGACAGAAATAATACATATAAAAAGTGTAGCCCTGTGAGACAGAAGATCATAAAGAGAATTCAGAATAGAATGAGTGAAGAAACAAACAGATCAGCTGAATAAAATCAGTATAGCAATAAAAAAGAATAGCGTGTAACTTATTTGAAAAATTTGCTACAGGCCTCATGTAATCACAGGACTTAGGGGAAGAGACAGAGAGAACAAAGGGAAAGTGAGAAAGCACCCCCTCCCTTAGAGGATGGTCGTGCCACAGTCCCTTCTCCACCTCTCCTTTGAGGATTTTCAGCATGCATACACACACGTCCAGTGTGCTTCTCAAGCCTAGGGGTCTAGGATACAAACAGCACACTCAGTCACGTGGGCCCTACCATGTCGTTGGCCAGCCCAAGATTGGGTTGTAACTTAAATCTGTGACTACCCTATTGAGAACACTGACAAGGAAGTTCAAAACAAAACAAAATAAAACAAAATAACCACCCAAGTTTTTGGCCTAGCATCTGGAGATAACAGGGAAAAAAACAGTGAGTATTACAGCCAGAAGCCTCTTGGGGTCATTAAAGAAATCAAACAGCAGAGAACATTAAGTTCAGATTTTGCATGAAATGTTTAAACCAAGGTTACTGGATGGTGTAGTTGAATTCTGAATGAACAAGCACCACTGAATGAGGGAAGAAATTTAAGAAATAAAAAACAGATGTTCATTCATTCATTCGTTTAGAAATCAACCAAATTATGCATATTAGTATATAGAATAGCCTTATATTCCAATTTAAAACATGTGAGTAATTAACTTAGACTGTGGCATTAATTTGAAGTTACTGATAATACCAAAACATAAGATACTAAAATTTACCATACATAAGAGTTTAATTTATTGGATATCTTTGTAAGAGTCACGTTAATATTTCTCAAGGTTTATCAGAAACCTTAAACTACTTAAATTTGCTAGAGGGCAAGTACACTTGCTGGAGAAACAAAGAGAAAAATTAAGAAAGCATCCCCCACCATGGGAGATGGTCATGTCATAATCCCTTCTTCACTTCTCCTTTTGGGATTTTGGACACTAACACACACACCCCTGATGTGTTTTTCAAGCCACCAGGTCTGGGATTCAAACTGCAAAATTGAACATGTGGGACCCAGCTATCTTAACCACCACGCTACCAGCTGGCCCAATAATGAATATACTAGTTATTTAAACAGCTTAAAGTGCTAACTAAGTTATGACAAAATAAAATATAAAACTCCACTTTTTAAATGGCTGTTTAAATTATTCATTGGTGGGGGAGAGATTTTTGCTGTAGGGCGCGTGCACTTGCCGGAGAAGCAGAAAGCAAGAAATTACCCTACCCCTTACCCTCAGAGGATGGCCACACTGGAATCCCTTCTCCTGCTTTCTCCTCTCAGGAGTCTGGGCATGCACACATGCACACTCAGAGTGAATTTTAAGTCACAGGGTCCAGGACTCAAACTGCAGTCAACTACATGAGAATCCAGCAACTGCAGGTCCCTTCCTGTATTACTTTTTAAAAATTCATAAGCTGAACTTCAAAACTTAAAGTCAAATTAGGGTTTTAAATTTAACTTTAATAAACTACACATTAATTCTTAAAACCAAAGGAACTAGTGTGAATAATCTTTTCTGTTTTAAAAAGCTACCTTCAAGAATATCTACTTCTACTTAAATCCTTTAGTGGCTAAGAAAAATTATTCTTCCATTAAGCTTTTACTCTTATATATAGATGAATCTATCCTACTCTAAATAAAAAATTAAATTTGTATCTTATTCAAACTGCTGATCTGTTCTACTGAAATAACTTAAAACAAAGAAACACTCCTCTTTTATAAACATACACCTCCAATCCAGGATTATAAATGCTTTCAGACTAAAATTCCCATCTTATACTACATCTCACACACACCCCCCCCCAACATACAGTAACTATTTGTGGCTGACAAACAGAATCTCAAGAATTACCAGTGACTTTTTAATTGTGCTATTATTACCTCTGTTACATCCCAATGGTGTAAAAACTGATCCAAGTCTGTAAGGTAGAGAAGTACTGGGGAAAGCTGTGTCTGGATGACATGAGGCACTCCTCTAAGGCTCTGAAGCCAGCTCAGCTCCTCTTTGGAAAACCCTAATGCAGGCAATAAACAAAGCCAATGTTGGGGGGGAAATAACACAAAACAGTGACATTTTTCATCTTTAAAAATCATGTACATTCATTCAAGTATACCCTCCTTCTGAGTTTCTGCATTTCATGCAATGCTTAAAAAAGAAAATGCTAGCAATGGAACTAGTTAAATTCATATAATTACATAAACAAAGGACACATAATCTAAAATACAGTAAAAAAAATTTACCCTTCTACTGGTGTTTTACTTAAAAAATAAAAGGCATGATTTTTCCAACTAATAGTAGTTTTAAAGCAAATATATACAGCCAATAATATTCTCTTTTAGATAATATGTTTTTACATAATGGCCTTTCAAATGTTTTTAAATTGCCCTGTCCCTGAAGGGTTTTTTATTTTGACAATACATAGACATTCCCTCACCTACTTCTTTTATGACAAATTTTTGATCCCTTTATCAACCCCATTACACTTGGCCTACCCTACACAGACAAACTGCCAAAGTCCTTCCCCAAAGATAGCTCTCAGAATAATCAAAATACAATCAGCCTGGCTCAACCCTTACAACTCTGTGAGCATAGCCTAAAGAGGCATTATCTAATTTGATACATAATAGTACGGACTCTTAATTAACCTTCTAAAAACACTAAAAACTTTTGATGCTAGGTAATATTGTAGTATTTCTAAAACATAAAGCTACCTCATTTCAAATATGTATTGGGTCATCAGAAAAGTCCTATTTTTTGTTTTACTATGCCAAAATGCGTCATGACTTTTCCGACAACCTAATATATCCAAAAATATCAAATAAATACGTAGGGGTTTACATTTATCTTTCAAAATATTTCTCTGGCTTGATTCAGCTTCGTATCAGAACCTGTGAATTTCTTTTAGGATTCTTGATAATATACATTCCTAATTTTAAGTCTTTGGAAAGAGTCAAATAATTTCATCATCACCATCCAATATAAAATAGAAATGTTGAATTGTAACAGTCATTTCAAATAGTTATAATGCTTAAACAGTATATTTAATTTACAACCTTTCTACTCATTTTAGCAATTTCGTTTGGAGGGCAAACAAATGTAGAAAACAGATCATCAAAATCTAATGCTATTCATACACCTCGCTGAACGTTTTAATGTGTTTAAAATGGATATTCTATAAATTTTTTTAAAGCAGGCAAGAGGACTTTCTCTAAGAGCTATTAAGTCCAACTCACTATAAGCAAAGTGATACAAATAAAGTTAAGAAATAAGATAAGGAAGGAAATGAAAACATAATCATGTGACATTTAAATACTCAAGTCTTCAGTATTTGTACTATGAGAGATTTGATGACAGATTCCTGAAGTTACTGTGCCTCAGGAGCCTGACAATGTATGGTACAAATACACTTGCAAAGATTTACAATTATTAATAATAATAAAAATCATTCTAAGAAAGAGAGTATCATCTTCAAAATTAAGAAATAAAAGCATAGTATATCTCAGAAGGGGAATACTGGATTTTTTTCCCCCATCTGGCAAGTGAATGTGCTTACCTGTAAGTGTAGAAAATAAGAAGCTGAAGTAGTTCACATCACTCATCAGCCAGTCTTTAACTGAATACTTCCACCCAGAAAATGATGATCTACAACAAATAATGGAGAACTATGACCAGAAGTGACCAACTCCACAGACTTAAAAATAACAGTCTATATCCATTTTCTTTACTGAAAACAAATCTGACTGACCAGCTTAAAACAAAACCTAGTTTTATATACAAGGGATCAAGCACTATAAGAAACTTGAAATATGAAATTCTGAAATTATGTAAAGTTTTACTTAAAAAGCCTGACACACACATAGAGTTTAACGGAAAATTTCCTCCATCTATAAGTCAAATTAGGATAAAGTTTTGTTTCTAAGTAGTAAGTTATGTATTTATTAGCAATTTGATGTTTAAAGTTCTACCCTCAACAAATGAACTAAGTTTAAACAAGTTTCAGCTTCTCACTTAAGTAAAACTATCTTAATCAGGCAAAGAAAACTTCTTTTAAAAGCCACTGTAAGATAATCATGTCCCTACTAGAAAGTTTTAACTAAGTCTGTTTTGTAACAGTGTAGCTAAGATACTGGCAGAGGACTCTAGGGACCCACTAAATGTAAAGCAGCTTCTCATTAAATGAGGATTATTTGGTTCTTGCTCTGAGATTGGTTTCCATAGGTTTCTTTTAAAAATTACAGTTAAGGTAGGGCTAGGAGGAGAGCAAATATCAGCCATGGAGTCATGAAAAAAAGGAAAAGGCTGAGAATAATCAGATCCAACAAGCTGAGACTACAAATTTATCAGACATTTGAATCAGACAAAATACAACTTTGTAATTCATGTAATTTTTTGTTACCATTATAATAACTGCATTTTTAAATGTTCTTAAATCGGACAAGGGTTATAAATAACGGAAACACCTTCTGAGTCTCTTTCCTAGGCTAGGAAATACAGTATCTCAGCGATTTAACACTTCAAACTAAAAGGTTATAAAAAGCCACAAGTACTCAATTAAAAAGTAGAAAACAATGATGAGAAAACAAATGAATATTTTCTTGCGCCCAGTTTAAATAAAAAGCAATTCTGCCATCCAGTGGCTAAAAAAGGTAGCAAAACCATTTAAGAGTGGGACAAATGACAAGCAATGCATCATGTCTTTAAAACTATGATGACAATATGTACTGTCTAAACCAGAACATATCTGAAAGTAAAGGGATAATTATGCTGAGACAAAAAAAGTAAACTGGAACTGTAAAATCTAAGCCAAATTTCTTAGTTTAAGCAATTTCTCTCTTCTCAGAGATTTTTATCTGATATTATAGATTACCTTTCCATATTTATGCTTATACAGCTGTAAACCAGGAAACAGATAGATGAAAATAGAGAAACATGTTTTGATCACTGGATATGATTATAGAACACAAATGAAATAAAATGACATGGGAGGAAAAGTTAAATTCTATAAAACTGTAAATGGATGGTAAAAAGGTAGGAGCAGCAATTCTAAGCACACTTTAAAACTAAGAGTTAAAAATAGGGGTTGGCAAGTGGCATGGTAGCTGAGGCACATGGTCAACTATAGTTTGAGTCCTGGAACTGGAGGCTTTGTTTTATCTCTCTTTCTCTCCTTGTGTGTGTATATATCTCTCTGATCAAATTAAAATAATAATAAAAGATCAATAAACATTTTTTAAAAAAGAGAAAATAAAAATTTCTTGCTAACGGGACTTTCACACAAAGGACACCCTGACTAGGGGTGCTCTGTTCTTAGATACTTCAGATAAAGACAACAGGGTAGAAGAACTATAAAATTGAGTTGAACATCTCTAAGTTCAGTCGATGAAACAAGGTAAAAATAAGAAATAATTAAAGAAATATTTCTGAAAAATTAGTCCAGCAATAGTATACAGAGTAGATGGTATTAAGAAGGAAGAGTATTACAAAAGTACAGGTGGACACAATGAAAACATTGGCTAGTTTACAGTCATAGTCAGAGAGGCGATAGTCTTTTTTTTTTCTTTTCTTTTTTTGAGAGGTTTTTCGGTATGGGGTGCGTGCGCTTGCCAGAAAGACAGAAAGCGAGAAATCACCCCCGCGAGAGGAAGGGCCCGGAGGGAAACCCCTCTTGGGATCTTGGGCACACATACACACGTGACCAGAGTGAGTTTAAGCCACTGGGTCCAGGACTCAAACCACAGTCGACTACATGGGAGTCCAACGACATAGCCATTACGCTAACTACTGGTCCTGTCCAGAGAGGCAATATTCTGCAGAGAAAACTAAAGATACTATGTAACCCAATGTACATCTGAAGGAACTGAACAGTCTTAAACTATGCTATGAAAAGTACTAAAATGCGGGAACAAGAAGTTAACATAATGGCTATGTCACTGGACTCCCACGTAGTCGACTGTGGTTCGCGTCCCGGACCCAGTGGCTTAAAACTCACGCCGGGCGCGTGTGTGTGCATGCCCAAGTTCCTGAGAGGAGAATGGAGGAGAAGGGATTGCGGCGTGACCATCCCCTCTGGGAGGTGATTTCTCGCTTTCTGTCTCTATGTCTCTCTCTGTCTGGCAAGCGCACGCGCCCTATAGCGAAAACCTCTCCAAAAAAAAAAATAAATGGTACTAAAATGCCATTGGCCCCATAAATTTGTAAAGTAGTAATTCTGTAAATGGGAAAAATTTTTCTTACAGAGAAGTCTACTACAAGACAATGAACAAATACTAAAAAGCAAAATTTAATTTGGTGGTCTTTTAACTACAAAAAAAATATGTACTTTTTTTTTTTTCTTTTTTTTTTGTAATTGCTAGAGACTGCATGGACTCACCAGATAGACAAAGGCATAGAAAGTACCCTCCAGTGGAGTCTGTTTACAATTTCTCCACCATTTCTCCACCCTATTGGGATTTGGGGACACACATGTCCCCCCCTTTTTTTGGAGAGAGATTATTGCTATAGGGCTGCTATACAGCACGTGTGCTCACCAGAGAGAGAGTTCTCCCCTCAGGATTTTGGGCACATACATACATATGTCTGACATGAGTTTTAAGCCACCAAGTCTAGGGCTCAAACCAGTCTACTCCGTTGAAGTCCAGCGATGTAACTAACCATTATGGCATCTGTTGGTCCCCTTCCCACATGTTTTTAAAGCTGCCAGCTGAACTGCAATTGGACATGTGAGATATTGCTCCCTTAGCCACAAGGATATGGGGCCAACACCAACAATTTTTTAAGTTAATGATTATGAGCCCCTATTATTAGTACTATAAATTAACATATTTTCCTAACTCACCAAAAATGCCCAGGAAACGTTAAAAAGGCAAGACTTTTGAAGACATCCTTTACAAGAGTTATTAAGCATAAGGATGATCTGGGAACCAGCAGTTAGCATAATGGCTATGTCACTGGACTCCCACGCAGTCGACCACGGTTCACGTCCCGGACCCGGTGGCTTAAAACTCACGCCAGGCGCGTGTGCGTGTATGCCCAAGATCCCAAGAAGAGAATGGAGGAGAAGGGATTGCGACGTGACCATTCCCCCTGGGGGTGATTTCTCACTTTCTGTCTCCCTGTCTCTGTCTGTCTGGCGAGCGCATGCGCCCTATAATGAAAACCTCTTAAAAAAAAAAAAAGCATAAGGAAAGCATAATTGATGTAATCAAAGATATTAAATGTAGCCTTCAAAGAGAGTCAATTTCAAAAAATGGTGATTTTAACTTATGCTAAGTTATAATCTAAGGAACGATGTGCCCTCTACTGGAAGCTAACAAATACAAAATCACTTAAGTTGTAGAAAAAAAGAAGTAAAATTTCATGTTTTAAAGGCCTAGCATTAAATAAATGCTTAGAAAAACAAGAAAAACTAATCAACGTGAAAATACTTAAAAATATGACCAACTCTCTAAAGCACATACACAGCAGAAATTAATCTTAAATTTTCACATAGAAACAACATACTACAAATAGTTCTCTACTGCTAAAAGAAAAAAAATACCATCAGTTTTGAAGCATACTTTAAGTGAGTAGTCAAGTACTTGTCCTATAATAGTATAAAGAGACTAGAAGATAAAAGTATACTAAATCGGTGAGCTACTTTTACTTACCTAAGGTAAGAGAACTGTAAAAGGTAACTAATTAGTCTTTAATAATAAACTTTCCAGCTACCATCTAGATTATAATTGACCCTTCCCTTGAACAACACAGATTTAGACTACATGGGTCCACTTACATGCGGATTTTTTCCAATGCATCAAGAAATCTTGTAGGGGGACCAGCAATTGGCATCACGGCTATATTGCTGGACTCTCATGTAGCCGACTAGGGTTCAAGTCCCGGACCTGGTGGCTTAAACACACTGGGCGCATGTGCGTGCCTGTCCAAAATCTCAAGAAGAGAATGGAGAAGGGAATGCACCGTGGCCATTCCCCTTGGGGGGTGATTTTTCACTTTCTGTCTGTCTCTGTCTTTCTGGCAAGCACATGTGCTCTACAGCAAAAACCTCTCCAAAAAAAATAAATAAATAAAATCTTTTAGAGATTTGACAATATGAAAAAACTTCACAGTACCAAAAATGACAGAGAAAGAAAAAAAGGAAGGAAATTCTTTAAGAGAAAAGATGAATTATCAGAACAGAAAATTAACTGTAGTACATACAGTATTAATGTATTAATTTCATAACCACCTCCTGTTGCTACTACAGTGAGCTCAAGTGGTGTATGTGCATAAAATGCCACGACACTCATCATGTCAGCTTGAGCAGTTCACTATCCAGCAAACTGCCTATCACAATAAAAATGACTTCTCACAGTTCTTACATATTTTAATCATTTCAGTTCAATACTCTAAACCTTAAATACCATAAAATGTTTGTAACAATTCATTTGTTATCATTGCATGAATGGTTATACCTGCAAGTAAGTGTGAATTTATTTGCATTATCTTTCCATTTTTGATACCTAGTGTTGGTAATACATATAGCACCTGCAATGTTTTGTATAACAGAACAGTGATGTAAATACTAACAAATAGATAACCCATCTTATAAACAGATGACATAAACTTATGGCATCATTAAATACAGCAAAATACTACAGGTGTATTTTCTTTCACAACTGTCTTATCTCTAACTTTATTGTAAGAATACAGTATATAATACATAAGACGTACAAGATGTTTGCTGTTCTTAAATTATTCATTTATTTATTTTTTCAGTGTTGCTAGAGAGAGAGAAAGCCACCAGGTCCAGGACTTTTAACCACAGTCAGCCATGTGGGAGTCTAGCATCTCAACCATCACACCCTCCTGCTGGCCCCCCTGGCTGTTTATCTTGTAGGTAAGGCTTCCAACCAATACTAGGATATTAGTAGTGAAGTTTTGGGAGAGTCAAAAGCTGTACGTCAATTTTCAACAGCACAAGGGGTTGGCACCCCAATCCCAGTGCTGATCAAAGGTCAGCTAATAACGAACTATTTCACAGTAAAATGGTACATTTACTACGAAAAAATGTATGGCGACTCCTCAAAAAATTATATATAGAATTACCATATCATTCAGCAATTCCACTTCTAAATATATAGCCAAAATAATTGAAAGCAGGACTTTGAAGGGATATTTGTACAACTATGTTTATAAAAGCATTATTCAAAAGTGCAAAAAACAACACAAATATCCATCAATAAATGGATGGATAGGAGGTGGCAAGTGGCATGGTGGTTAAAGGTGCTGGATTCCCACATGAGTGACTACGGTTCTCATCGCGGACCCCTGGAGGCTTGCTTTTTCACTTTCCCTTTCATTCTCTCTGTCTCTGTCTGTCTGGTCAAATTTAAAAAAGAATAAATAGTAACAAATGGAATTAAATAAACAATTCTTTTAAATAAAAGAAAAACAATAAATGAATGGATAAACAAAATGTACAACATAAACACAACAGAATATTTTTGAAACTTAAAAAGAAAATGAAATTCTGATAGATGCTACAACATGGATGAACCATGAAGACAGCATGCCAAGTGAAAAAAGCCAGACACGAAATGAGAGTGTATGAGTCCACTTAAATGAACAATAGTCGAAATCAGAGAGACAATAGAATAGTGGTTACCAGGAGCAGGATGAGGCAGACAATAGGGAGTTAATGTTTAATGTGTATAATTTCGATCTGGGGTGATGAAAAAGCTCTAGAGACTACTACTGAACTGTATCCTTAAAGATGGAAGGTTAAAAAATACCAGAGATTTTAAATTTCTGATCTGAATCTATAAGCTTGCTTTTTGTTCATTTGGGGGTTTTTTGGAGAGGTTTTTGCTACAGGGCACATGCGCTCACCAGAAAGACAGAGAGACAGAAAGCGAAAAATCACCCTCCAGGGAGGATGGCCACACTGCAATCCCTTCTCCTCCATTCTCCTCTTGTGATCTTAGGCATGCATGCACACATGCCCGGCATAAGTTTAAGCCATTGGGTCTGGGACTCAAACTGGGGTCAACTACATGGGAATCCAGCAACATAGCCATTACGCCAACAGCTGATCCCTATAAGCTTGTTTAAATTCACCAGTTGCAGTAAATTCTGAGCTCCATGAATGGATGGTCTGTTTTGCAATTCCATCAAACCAAAGAATTTAAGTACAGTAATCTCAACCTGACAATGAACCCTTACTACATGATTTTGAGCATTCAATTTCAACCTTTATTCCAACTTTTCCATATAAACCACTAAGGAAGAACTTGAAAATCTTACTCTAATGAATTTATTCTTCCTAGAGATGTTATCAACAGAACTGTAATTACTGCACTAAGAGTTAAGGAAGGCAGCAGGAGTACAGGAACTTGAAAAGCCTTCTGTATTTCAAATTTCACAAATTTTCAGAAGAGGAAAGGAAAAGATTATACACTTAGCATATAGCTCACTTGAGCATGCTACCTCATATGCAGTATCCCGATGAGCATGGCAACCAAACTTGAACTGAGTCTTCCCATAATACAGCAACGACTTAGACGAGAAAGCAAATCAGCAGGCAGGCTTGGCAGAAAGTACACAAGCTGAACCAAACGCTGCTGAGATTCTGCAGGGAGAACCACCACAGTGCCTTCTTGTGGATCTAGTGAGGTAGTAAGACACATTAAATTCAACTATAAAAGATATACAAACCAGTGATTAAATAAAACAGACAAATGACTTTCACTGAACTATGGGGCTGACATACTATGTTGCATTTCAATTACACTAATTATATTTAAAAGTTTTACCACAAGAGTGGGTTATCTGGATTCTGAGTGAGAATCCTAGTATACCAAGCGACAAGAGAGAGAATTAAAAATGGGTAATGTCGGGACCAGCAGGTGGCATGGTGGTTAAGGCGCTGGACTCCCACATGACCAACCGCGGTTTGAGTCTGGGACCTGGTGGCTT